TTCCTCCAGAGTCAGAATAAGTCTAAGTTAACTTTTGGAAGAACCAGAGAAAGGGGTGAAAATGGATAAAATGTATCCGAAAATAGTGTCTCATTATTCCGTGACAACTCCCCTTGAATTCCTCCAGAGACCAGTTCAAAAACTTAAAGTTTGGTAAGAACCATGATTGGGGGTCCTCCAGGCAACAATTGTATCCGATCCAAAGTGCTCATGCAGCGGATGCATTCCTCCATGATTTCTCCATCATGTGAAATAGGCCGTTTTTTTCTAAGTGCTCTCAAAAACCGGGTTTCCGATTTCGTGGAGATAGTAGCTTGGAAAAGATGAATGAATTTTTTGGACGGAGGAAGGGAAGTCTCGATTCCCCTCTCCGTTGTAAAATGCAACGGGGTAGTGCAAATGTCTCCGGGGCTTCCGCCGGAAGCGCCGAAGACTTGAGCTTGTTGCAGCCCCTCCTCCGTTGGCACTTAGCCGTTTTTTCGAGATTTTTTAAAAACTTATTTTTTGATTATTTTAAGATATAATTGACCGTTTTATTTACTTTGTTTTGCTTTCCACGGGTGGGGGCGCATGGCAGACCGCCTATGAGCTCCCAAATTCGGCCTGGAACCTCCGGGAATTGTGTCCATTTCATCCACATTTGACTACCCATTAAATGTACATGAAATGGACACGACCAAATGTACATGAAATGGACACGACCAAATGTACATGAAATGGACAGGAACTTCATTTTTGATTATTTTAAGATATAATTGACCGTTTTCTTTACTTTTTTTTGCTTTCCACTGGTGGGGGCGCATGGCAGGCCACCTATGAACTCCCAAATTCGGCCTGGAACCTCCGGGAATTGTGGGCTAAGCTCCATAAACTGACAAAGTCACCCAGAAATGTCAATTTAATAGCCAAAAAATATATAATACAAATACATTTAAATAGTAAAAGGTACAATTGTGGTCCTAATTACCCAAAATTTGATTTATATAGCCCCATGATAGTGAATAAAAATCATTTTCATGGGAAAAAAGTGTTAAAATGCCTGATTAATATGTTTGTAATGCTGGCAGCAGGTTGACTGCTGTAAGCAGGGTCCCACACTCACAGGCACACAGGCAGAGATCCAGGGTGATGAACATGGCTTTCTTACCCAGGAATAACTGTGTGAAAGCTGGGTAAAAGTGCTGTGAATACAGGGAGAGAGGAGCAGCAGCAGCAGCAGCAGGCTGTGACCCAGAGAGCTCCTTCCAGCACCTCGCTCTATCCCACCCAGAGGACAGGCTGCTTCAGAGCAGGGTCACTGCTGTAAGCAGGGTCCCACAGGCACACAGGCAGAGATCCAGGCTCATGCACATGGCTTTCTTACCCATCAATAAGTGTGTGAAAGCTGGGTAAAAATGATGTGAATACAGGGGAGAGAGGAGCAGCAGCAGCAGCAGCAGCAGGCTGTGACCCAGAGAGCTCCTTCCAGCACCTCGCTCTCCCACCACCCAGAGGACAGGCTGCTTCAGAGCACTATTTAACCCAGGAAAGAAGCTTCAATACTGGGTATATCAGTGTTAAAAAGTGCATTAAACTGGTTTAATGACCCAGTAATAAGAATTGTGAAAGCTGGGTACAAATTATGTGAATACAGGGAGAGATGAGCAGCAGCAGCAGCAGGCTGTGACCCAGAGAGCTCCTTCCAGCACCTCACTCTCCCACCCAGAGGACAGGCTGCTTCACAGCAGAGTCACTGCTGTAAGCAGGGTCCCACGCGCACAGACAGAGATCCAGGGTGATGCACATGGGTCAGAAAAAGTCTAAGATAACTTTTGGAAGAACCAGAGAAAAGGGGTGAAAATGGAGAAATTGTATCCCAAAATAGTGTCTCTTAAGGCGGGTAGAGTATGGGGTGACGTATATGGACACTTGAGCACCATCAAGACCCCCACCTCCATAACCTTGTGCACCAGGCGAACCTGTGTACCCACACTTAAGCTCTCCCCCACGGACTAAACCAAGAGGGAACACGGTCAGAAGTTTGTGCCCCTGGTAACACTGAATAAAACCATTAAAACTGCTATGCATTGAGGATTTTAGTCCGAGATGAGTGCTTATCTGCGTGTATCTTGTGTCAGCTTTGTGAACCCCAATTTAAAAGGAAATGTCCATGATATTGACAAACATATTTATATACAGAATGATGATTATTTTACCCTCAGACACATGCATAGAGCACCCCCAAGTGTTGCATGTGTGTAGGCATAGTTGGTCAAATGTGTCCTGCCGGTGGCAGGGTCTTTTCATTGGAAGTTGACATCACATTTCCATTGTGCGGACATGTGTACATTTGAAGGACAAGTCCCATGTTAACTCTGTCCATAAGGCAGACATTTTCCTTACATGGCTTTATATATAAAAATGTACCAGTGACTGAGCCTCCGTACAGTTAGCGAAGGCAAACCAGCCCTTGCATACAGGGTACAGTGATGGGTTAATGCTTTACAGTTTGTCACAAATCTCAGTGCACTGTGATACGCATCATCTAACTTGACCAGGTGCATTCATATAAATCAGATCACCATAGTCCAGCACAGGTAAAAAGGTCACAGTGACTAGCCTTTTCCTGGCCTCAAGCGAGAAACAGGACTTGTTCCTGTAGAAGAAACCTAGCTGCACCCTCTGCTTTTTAAGCAGGTTATTGACATGAAGTTTAAAAGTGAGACAATCATCAAGCCAGATACCAAGGTATTTGTAACAGGTAACCACTTCAATCTTTATTCCTTGCGTATAGTTACAATATCTACAACAGGCTCTGGTGTCTTTTTAGCTTTAGAAAAGAGCATTACCTTGGTTTTATCAACATTTAAAAGAAGCTTAAGCTCAGCGAGCTGAGTCTGAATAATGTTAAAAACTGCTTGCAATTCAACAACAGCCAATCGAGGGACCTGCACAGTACATCACGTAGTGGACATTTCTTTACCTTAGCTTATATGCTAAAACCAAATGCTTCTAAAAGCATTGTCTAACACTACTGTACCATTTTCCTATTATGTGCTATTTTCTCTGCATACTCTAATGAGGGTTTTCATTCCCAAGCGCTTCAAGGCCACAGAGCTGATTTGGCAGACTAGGTTGAGACTACTCCTCTTCACACAAAGTCACACAAGAACTTGCCTATTCTGAGAACCGTTATACTATCTACAGCTCAAGGACAGGTGTCTAATAACAATATAAGAATATGAGACTGTGTGAAGACAGATGTCTGAGCTTCCCGCCCTTTCCTGTATATAAGCTTTGCTATTTTATTACTACTGCGCACACTCCTGCAGACTATCCTATACTCTGTGAGACCTGTGTCTATATATATATATATATTCAATAAATAACCAGAAAGACAACTCTGTTTGTTTCACCATTTATTGTTTGATCATTCTGACTCGTGTATCTCCAGTATTGACTAGGTCTAAGATTTCCATAACAAGTTGCTCCATCAACATTTTCACCTAAACTATTGATGTAGATGGAGAATAAAAGTGGACCTAAAACTGAACCTTGTGGTACACCATTAGAAATGTTTAACCACTCAGAAGACAGCCCATCAAAGTGAACACATTGGGACCTTTCAGAGAGGTAGTTCACAAACCACCCACTGCATGGCTGGATATGCCGATACTGAGTAGCCTCTGCTTTAAGATGCGATGATCGACGGTATCAAACGCTTTGGATAGGTCAACAAATAGAGCTGCACAACTCTGCTTATTATCTAAAATACTCGTAATGTCATTCACCACTTTCATTGTGGCAGTGATGGTGCTATGTTGCTTTCTGAAGCCTGACTGATGTTTAGACAGGATATTATTTGTACATAAAAACACCTTTACCTGTTCACTCACTAGGCGTTTAAGAACCTTAGCCAGAACTGATCATTTAGAGATGGGCCTATAATTATTTAATAAAGTGGCCTCCCCTCCTTTTAGTAGAGGCAGGACATACGCTGACTTCCACAATTTTGGAATTGTGTTAGTGCTGAGGGAGAGGTTAAAAAGAGTAGTGAGAGGAAGAGCAATACAATCTTCTTTAAAAAGAAAGGCTCTACGTTGTCCGGGCCAGCCGGTTTCTAAGGATCTAACTTGGTTAAGGCTTCATGAACAACATCAACAGTAAAAGGAGTAAAACTGAAAGGGTTTTCCAGACCACATTGTTCAGAGTCACGGATTGGGGTGTTCACAGAAGCAGAGTTAGTGACAGAATCAAATCAATTTCTTCTCACTACCAGCTAGAATGTTCCTTATGCCCATACCCTACATCTTAACCTGTATGTGAAAAGTATATTTATCAAACAATGGCATCCTTCTTTTAGGATATAACTCGTTCTTGAATTGTTATTTATTTCAATATAGTTGCAAAATCCATTCAAATCACAAATAAACTGAGCCATAAAATGATTTGAATATCTGAAAACAATTGTACAATTATAAAATTCCCAAAATAAAATAAAGATTCTCAGACTAACTGTTTTTTTCTTCAGACTTTCAAATGTGAGAATTCCCCGCTGTTGGAACTCCAAAAATCCCTGCCAAGTATTACTCAACAGTTTTTACCTTAGGACTTAGTGTGCATGTTCAATATGATTGACTATGTGTGCAGATCCAGCAGGTTCAGAATAAGAATTAAACATTAGTAACATTTCTCAAACAAGAAAAGAAGAACAAGTTGTCACATTTAAAAACAACATAAATGCAGAATAGTTATTTGGCAGTCATTTTGAACTGGTCATTCAACTTTATGCTCCAAAGTTAGTCAAACATGTTATTGTTACCCCTTATTGATTTTCTACTGTTTATCTTTTTCCACAAATTGGACCTCGTGTTTATCAGTTTCTCAACTGCTGCTGGGAAATGGTGTGTATGTGGTTGTGTTCGTACAGGTGGACAGAAAGACTAGGTGAGGTGAGGTGGTGGTGGGTCAGTGAGAGGATAAAAGGAGGGTGCTGCATAGCGACACTTCACTGACAGCGGACCAGGATCAGGTAGGAGGATGAGGAAGACTCTGCTGTGGCTGCTGGCCTCTCTGGCCTTCGTCTCCCTGACTTCTCTTGCTGATGGAGCTCCAATGTAAGTAGACATGTCGTACCTTTACCCACTCCAGCTCTGCTTGAATCATTTCTCAGAAAACAAAGATATATCTTTTTTAGTTTTTGGTCATCTTCCTGGTATCAGGGGTGCACATAACTGGTACGCAGGTACGGCAAACATCTGAAATGCGTATAACGTCACTTGTGTCACTATGCGCCTTTGCGTACCTGATAGGTCATCAAAACAAAACACTTATTTCATCTACACGTGTTTCTTGTCTACACTCAATGGAGTAAACTATAAGACATCATGTCCAATAAACCAAAAGACATTAAGCAGCCACTTCGGCTTTTTGCTCCCTGCAAAAAACGCCAGACATTCTTGGACTGATTAAAGTGGGTGCCGGCCGAGCCGTGCATCCGCAGGCCATAACCGACGGACCTGTGACGCTTTTACAGGAGGAAGAGGCTTAGAACACTGGACGACTAGGTTGGTTGCCGTGTGCACAGACAGGGTTGTTGTTAACGTCGTTACAGAATTGTACCAAAACTACACCAACTGGCTGCGGAGGGAGACACCCCTGTGCACATTCTGTGCCCCGCACACACTGGAGAACTGCGCAAAATCAGCTGATCACAACGTTCACGTTCTGTGAGACTTCTAATCGTTCTGTGGTCAAGCTGCTGCAATTTTATTTACAACAAGGTGGAGCAAAACACACAGCTGCAAACTTGTGTTAATGGAAGAGATTGAAATCAGACAGAGGTGGAAGAAGTACTCAGATATCTGTTACAAGTAAAGTCCAGCATTCAAAATGTTACTCAAGTAAAAGTAGAAAAGTATTATCATCACAATATAGTTAAAGCACTGATTTAAGAGTTGATTATATTTCAACTCATTCATCCAAAATCTGGAAAGTAACTAAAAGTATTAAATACATGTAGTGGAGTAAAAGTACACCATGTACCTCTGAACTGTAGAGGAGTAGAAGTACACAGTAGCATAAAATGGAAATACTCAAGTAAAGAAGTATACATGTACTGTCTTAGTTACTTCCCACCTCTGAAATCAGATATGAGATCAGAAGCAGATCAGATACGTCTGCATTCATATTATTACCTTAACTCGTGTCTTTCATAATGAGGAGCTACAGTCCACTCTGTGTTACACAATTCAAGGTCATGTGGTGTTTCAAATTATGCCAATAAGTTGGCATAATTTTTTGTTTAGAGTTTTCACAACGACGCAAAATGCCAGACAGAGCAAGGGTCTAGAGATATGATGAAATGTTGTGTTGATCCAGTGCTGGAGCTTTGTAATCAATAGATTACTCATTGTGTGTAATCCATGCTGGAGCTCATGATCCTTTGAAAAATAGATTTAGTTTGTTTCTGCAGTTTGGGGGAATTGAAACCTAAAGTTAAATGTTCTGCTCCGCCTCACTGTTCCCTTTAATTATGTTCTTACCAATTGGGTTCGGTTTATTTATTTGACCACTTTAAGCACAACTCATGCAGTATCCCATATATTTATTTGTATGCTCACAATTCCCAAAACACATGAATATTCTTTGAACTTTACTATTTGAAACACTTCAAACTCGTCCTGCGAATGGAAATAAACCATGGAGGCATCATTAATTCAAGATGAGTAGTTAATTTAAAAAAGGTTTTTGTGTGAATTCATATTTTGAACTCTTTTTTTTCAGTACATCCAAAACAGCATGTGGTTATTTCTGCTCGGTGACATCACATTCACATTAATATACATCTTCTTTTCCGCCCCCGCTTTGCAGCGAGGTGATGTCTGCCCCCAACTTGTTGAGGGTAGGAACAGCAGAAAACGTTTTTGTGGAGTGTCAAAACTGCACAGGTGCAGACATAAGGGTGGAAATCCATGTGTTGAACCATCCAACCAAAAACATAAGGCTGGCAACTGCATCTGTGACACTTACCAGTACAGATGACTTCCAGGCGCTGGTACAGATAATGGTAAATTATGCGCTATAACTCGACTGCATTTTCTAAGATGATCTATGAATTAAAAAATGCACATACTGTACACACCCTGCTCCTAATGAACTGTTTGTGTCTCTTCATAATGATTTCAGATCCCTGCTGGAGACTTCAGTAAGGATCCCAGCATCAAGCAGTATGTGTATCTGCAAGCTCAGTTCCCTGGCCGACTGCTTGAGAAGGTTGTCATGGTCTCCTTTCAGTCTGGGTATATCTTCATCCAAACTGACAAGACCCTCTACACCCCCAACAGCAGAGGTGAATTTATTCAATATCATTAAATCAAGCAATATTTGTTCATAAAGCCCCATATTACAAATGTGAAATGTGCCCAAAGGGGCTGATTAGGAAAATCAGTCCCAATTAATCAGTGAAAAAATTACTACTATAAAGATATGACTTAAAGGTCACCTATAAGGCAACATCCACAATGTATTGTATTATATACATTAATATGTGTTAAGAGTTTCAGGAAAAAATCATCTCTCTTTTTGTCCTGATCCAAAAACCGGTCTGAAAATGAGCTGATCAGATTTAGGCCACTTTGTGATGTCACAATGTTTGTTTTGGGTTGTGTAACCATTAGCCAATAACCAACCAAGGTGACACCCGCTCACCTGAATCTCATCCTAGAAGGTTTCCCATTCCTCAAATTTCCCTCCTCGACTCCTATCCTCGACTCATATATTTACTTTTAATTAATTGACTGTATAATGGGGCAAAAGCAGGCTACAGATGCGGGGGCACACACACACACACACACACACACACACACACGCACGCACACACACACACACACACACACACACACACACACACACACCTACACACACACACACACACACACACACACACACACACACACACACACACACACACACACACACACACACACACACCTACACACACAAACACACACACCTACAGCTGTTCTCACTCTAAACATTGCGTGATGAAAGCAGTTAATAAAATAATATCCAGGGGATGCATGCAGAGCTGTCATTGGCTGAGATAAGTCCGGCCGTGCGTCACGACTCTTTGAAACATCTCTGTTGCCGGAAATGCATCCATGAAGGAGCCGTGGAGGACCCATCAGTGTATCCTCGGTTATAGCTCCTCCAGAGAGCCTCCTCGACGCTCGATCCTTGGTCCTCAATGTTCATTTAGAGAAATGAGATGTCCTTCAACATGGCGCGCCGAAATCCATTTCCGGGTCACTACCGGAGGACCGAGTAGTCGAGGAGTGGAGATGAGAGAAATGGGAAACCTTCCTAGAGCACCATTGTGTTTTTTTGACCAAATATCCTGCAGAGGGGCGTGGCCAGCAGCAGCTCATTAGCATAAAGATAGAGGCAGGGGAAAAGAGAGGCAGTCTAAGCCTATAGCAGCATGACTAGGAGCTGGTCCAAAGTAAGGCTGAGCAAGCCCCAACTATAAGCTTTATCAAAAAGTAAAGTTTTAAGTCCACTCTTTTTCTGTCAGTTCATTACAGGATGTTTGCTGTGACACCCCGTATGGAGCCTGTGGAGAGGGATGATGCCAACCAAATGGATGTGTCTATTGCCATTGAGTTTGTGGTATTGTTTTCCAATCTTTGATAAGCACATACACCAAGCCTCTTATAACCTAAATAAAAGTAAAAACACAGCCAACCTGAGTTGTTGGGTTGTGTTACTTTAGGAACACCTGTCCTGTCACTTGCTACCCTCTAGTGGTTGATTTGCATAAACATAGCCACTTCTTTTAGTGGTAGATAAATACATTTTAGGAGTAGCTGGAAATTAAAAAAGTCTCAATGGAGACAATGACCAAGCTCATGGAGACATGCATAAAATAGTCTATAGCATGGATTTATAACATTAACTTGTTTCTGTTAATGTTTTACTTTTTTATTGTTCTTTTTTAGACCCCTGAAGGCATCTTCTTAGAACTTCATCTAGTCTCTTTGAAATCAGGGATCCACTCTGGAAATTACCAACTCGCTGAAATCGTCAGGTTAGTAGTTCATCTTGTTTATGTTGTGTTCTCTACAATGAATTTCCATGTTGCGAATGTAGTGTTTGGAAAAGAGCTAAGCAAAAAGTAATATCTTGTATGAAATGTGGAGACACAAAGAATTCTCAGTTCACACATCACCCCATACTTCCAAGATGATGAATGTAAGTGAAAAACACTGGATCAGAACAGGCGGGGGCGCGGGCGTGCGCGGGCTCGTGAACTGGCGCGCACAGCGTAAAGCAAAAACTCACAGACACTTCAATGATTTGTACGGCAGTACGGTTTGGAAACGATATCATTTCCTTTTTGGCGGGCATGCATAACACGGCAAAACACCGGAGCCTCGCTGCGGGGAAGCTTTGGCGCTGTTCTGGTTTGTTCTAATCCGTCAAAATGACAGTAGTTCCTGGGCTCTATAACACCTTACTGCACTTCATCTGGAAATTCATTTGTAAATTCATTCAGCGAATATGCTACTTTATTACATTCAGGGTCACATCTGAATGTAATAAAGTGGCTTTCTGGCCGAAATGATTAAGGATTAAAATAACTGTCTTCTTGTGGTCATTATATTTTCTCACTCTCAAATAAATAGTTTATTTATTCATTTCTTTATCTATAACAATGCAGCATTTTAATTGTAAATGCACAGATTCAATAGAAATAGGCCAACAGTTAATGCCTATGAATTGTACAGTAAAACTAATCAGCGTAAAAATAAATACAATCAAAGTACTAATACCTTGACTCCCTACTACGCTACTAACCTGAAAACGTTACATTTTAGTGTAGGGCACTAATAATTATATTCAGCAGCTAATTTTTATATATTTTATTTGTGAATTAACAAGATGTGAATACCTTCACAGAGTATGCAGCCTGATTCCTGTATTACTTTGTTACCTCTCTAAATTAGTGTTTAAATGTTGTGTTTTTGTGTGTTTCTATGTTTAGTACCGGACAGTGGGAGATCCGCGCAAAGTTCCACAGCAACCTACAGCAGAGCTTTAGTGCAGAGTTTGAGGTCAAAGAATATGGTGAGTCTCCCATTACCTGCACTTTCATTTAAAACCAATATCAACGTTTTTTAACTGGATTGGTTAAACCATAAATATATTTTTCAGTGCTTCCCAGTTTTGAGGTTAAACTGAATCCTACGAGCTCTTTCTTCTACATGAACGACCAGGAGCTCACAGTCCACATTAAAGCCACGTGAGAGAAAGTTCTTGTTCCGTGGCTTTAGAGGCTGTTTGATTGGTGGATTGATTGTAGCAATGAATACAGGTTGCTGTTTAGAGGTTGGGTTGACGCTCTTGCTCTTTTAGTTTCTTAATCATTTATTTTTACTTTGTTTAAAATGAACCTGTTTTGATTCATACATGTCCGTCTCTTCTGGATTTAGGTATTTGTTTGGTCAAGAGGTGAATGGGGTGGCCTACGTTGTGTTTGGGGTCATAAATGATGGTCACAAGAAGAGCTTTCCAAGTTCTCTTCAGAGAGTGCAGGTGAGCACATTCTACACTAACTATATTTTACATGTGTTTTGGAAGAGTCTCATACTCACAACATGCCTAGTATTTCTCCTCTAACTCCAAGATCTGCAGTTATTTCCAACAAGTCCTCCAACTCATACGACCAAATATGCCGATTGTTCAAGCGCTTATACGTCCTATAATTACGTTTTAAAGTTTTCACCCTCTAGTGCTCCCGTTGAATGCAAACGTTACAGATGTTTATTCACAAATAACCCTCTCTGTAAAATCCTAAATTGTAGGATAGTTTGGCCATTAAAACGCTTTTTGATTAGATTTCTAGCGAGAAGTGTATATTGTACTTTTAGAATCAACACGTTCTCACTCCCAACCCATCACATGTTGACGGACGGTCAGGGCCCCTCCCTGTCACCCTATTACGGACAGGGTACTCCTTGAGAGTCCGTTCTCAACGGGCAGGGCGTCCCATAGACCTTCATAGACCTCCCATAGCGTTGATAATAGACGCCATGAGAACGCTCCCCGACGGTCGGTTGTTATTGTCAATATTAATATAATAATTATTTATTTTTAAATAGGTTAATAGGTTGACACTTCTTTTAGCAGAAACAAAGGCTACATTAATGTATTAAATCCATGTTAATCCATGTGTGTGGTTGTGCTTGCCATGCAACGCCATAATTTACAAACTCTTCAACCACAACCCTAATTATATTTAAAAACATTTTAGAAGGCCTCACGAAATACTTTAATGTAAATTTAAATGTAAATGTGAAGGTATGTGTGTAATGTGGTGATTGACATTATTCACCCACGGATCTATGGGTTGGGGTATTGTTCCGCATGGACATTTTAGTTAACCGGACTTCCTGTTGATGTGAAATCCGAAAACATTTTTTAAAAATAAAATAATACTTTATTCCGAGTTTGCTTGCTTTTCTCTTTGGAGGTCATCACCTAACGGCATTGTAATACACGGTTCGGCTGCATTAAATATTACATATCTGCCGTAGTTCGCTATTTATAGAGCCCTGATGAGAAGACTTCTAGACAAACAGGAACAACTGCCGCCGAAACTGAATATGTGACGTGGATCATAAATATATATATCAGCAATTAAACAAAATCTTCAATTTCTCTTCACAATATAAGTCTCCTTGCAGTATCAACACTAATTCGGCTGACTTTTATACACTGAACAAAAATATAAACGCAACACTTTTTTTTCCTCCCATTTTTCATGAGATGAACTCAAAGATCTAAAACATTTTCTATTTACACAAAATAACCATTTCTCTCAAATATTGTTCACAAATCTGAAAGAATCTGTGATAGTGAGCACTTCTCCTTTGCCGAGATAATCCCTCCCACCTCACAGGTGTGGCATATCAAGATGCTGATTAGACAGCATGATTATTGCACAGGTGTGCCTTAGGCTGGCCACAATAAAAGGCCACTCTGAAACGTGCATTTTTGCTTTATTGGGGGGGTCTGGGGGGGTCCGAAAACCAGGCAGTATCTGGTGTGAGGGGTAGGGGTAGGGGTAGGGTTAGGGTAATGTTGTGAATCGAGTGGCCCATGGTGGTGGTGGGGTTATGGTATGGGCAGGCGTATGTTATAGACGGCGAACACAGGCCACTCGATTCACAACATTACCCTAACCCTACCCCTACCCGTCCAATTCCAGTTTTGGAAAGTCTGTCGTGGTTACATTCCATTTCATAGAGCTGTGACGCTCAGCGTAACCTTGTCGCACTGCCACTGCAACATCCAATCACAGGGCTTGATGACTAATCACGGGGTTTGTAAAGCAAGGCGGATGTTGTAGTCCCAAACGATAGCTGGGGATTCTGGGTAGTGTAGTGTCTTCGGAAACTGTAGTGTCTAAACTCCTAAAAAACTATTTGTTTCTCTGAATCGAAGGTTAAAACACAAAAGCATTGTACACAATGTAAACCAATCAATATTGTGTAATTAACAAGAATAAACTGATGTTTTTTAGTGGATGAGTAATGCAGATATCACTGTGTAATCATTTGACAGTGAGGGGAATATATCCGGTTTTATTATGAAAACTTCGAGACCCGAAAAACTGTTTTCACCCACGCTAACTTTACATGGAAGCTGCACACGTTATCCTGGCGAGACCTCAGATCATCTTCGTATATCTATCAAACTATAGATCCTACACATCCACTGGACGTGGATTCTAAGAGTACAATATACACTTCTCGCAGCATGTTGTTTCTTACACGACCACTAGAGGTGCTAGACTTTAAAACGTGGCTATGGGTCGTAATCGTCGTAATCTAAGCTGCTTAAACAATCGACCTATTTGGTCGTTTTTTGTAGGAGGACAGGCTGGTTATTTCAGTTTCATTTATATTCACAGATATTATGTATTTAGTGTGTTGAAAATGTAACATAACGATGGTGGTGACAAAACACAGTCTTTTCATATTGTTTTAATTGAGAGACCCTTAGCAGCAGGAAATACAATGTTGTATTAGCAACTGTTCACTGTAACACTAAACTACATTTTAAGACACATCTTTGAACTATGTTACATTAGATTGAAAAAGGTGTTGGAGCTGTCACGCTGAAGAGAGAGCACATCACAACGACCTTCCCAAACATTGAAGACCTGGTGACGAAATCCATATATGTAGCTGTCAGTGTGCTAACGGAGAACGGTAAGAAAGAGACTAAGACCTTTCCCAAACGACAGGGGGGAAACATAAATATATTGTATAAAGATAGGATAAGTGTTTTTGTATCAACTACAAAGTGACTGCATTTAAATAATATAATTACATTATAAACAAAAACATCTTTAATCTGTTTTGATTTGATTTGTTTCTGCATCTATTAACAGGTGGTGAAATGGTGGAGGCAGAGTTGAGAAATATTCAGATTGTTAAATCTCCCCTGTGTCCTATTCATGCACGCATTCCTTCACTGAGACTTCCCTATACGTAGCCGGCCCCCTGGGTGGGCCTACGTGAATGCGCGCGCATCCACCGCATAAGCGGCGGCCTCGCCCCCTCACTGCTATCCCTTTACTTTCTCTTCAGCTGAGTAGCATAGGGCAGCAATGCTGCATGAGTAGAGGGCTCAACTGTGCTTATATAACATGGGTTACCATACGTAACCCTACGTTATATCTCTCACAGGCTCCGCCCTCTACTGGACTCTATGGGCGCTCTGCTGTCCCGTGAGAACACCACTCCATCCCCCTGTTTCGGACCGGCTTTCTGTTTAGCAGCCGCTGCGCCTCCCTCACCTCTCCCTCGGCCGTAGCCAAGGAGAGAGAAAGAGGCTGCGGCAGGCCGCGCACACCCTGACGCGCTTACCCCCCGGAGGTGTGCCAAAACGTAGAGGATTTCCTCCTCCTGTCTTAATGTAGGGGAAAAGGAAATCCCCAGCCCCTATGGGCCCGTGTGCGCGTTACGCGTAAACGTCCCCCGGGTCCCCGGCCCCGGGGGACGTTTACATCCGGGGAGCGGGTCAGATGCCCACTGACCCACAGCCCCCCTCTCCTTCCTCACCAGTTGCCCCAGCAAGCACAGACGATGAAAAGGAGCCAGGCATGTCCAAGAGATAAAACTTAATGAAGGGACCTGGTGTTGACCAAGATGCCGCCGTGCATATGTCCTCCACACTTACTCCATTAAATAAGGCTGTTGATACAAGATACCTGCAAGATGATCACAGCGTGAGTAAGCGCATCTCAAGCTCGTCTGTTTGTCGCTGTTAAATTAGCTCTTTAAAGCTTATATCATTGATCCACATGATCTGAACTCATGAACATTTGAATAACTTAAGTACATAGTAAAGCGGCTCATTACGGTCTCTGGATTAGTGTATTTTTTTGCATTTGCAACTATGGAGGGAAACATGTCCCTGCAAACTTTGTGGGACGCGATTCAGCAGATCAAGACCGACATGCTGACTCACATTGACTCAAAAATGGATCCCATTCAAAGTAGCTTGAGTAGGATACACAATTCCCTGTCTAGTTTGGGAGACCAGGTCAATTTGTTGGAACAGCGTGTCGGAGCTAATGAGGACAATGTACACGAGTGTGTCGCTCGAGTCAAGCAGCTTGAGAAAGACAACTCCTTCCTGATGTCTAAAGTTGATGATTTGGAGAACCGGAGCCGACGTTCTAACCTTCGCTTCGTAGGAATCCAGGAGTCCGCTGAAGGCAGTGACATTATCGGCTTCATGTCTCGGCTCATCCCGCAGCTCCTGGGGCCAGATGCCATTTCAGTCCCGAGCTTACCAGAAGACGCCGGAGCTTCGATCCAGTCAAACGCAAGCTCCGTGAACTCAACATGAAGTACTTTCTCCTCTACCCGTGCACCCTCTGCGTTGTTGTTGATGGCACACAACAACGCTTCTCTACCCACAAAGACGTGGAGGCAATCTTCATGTCTACCTCAAACTCTCCTGGGTGACGAACATCCCCAGAGATGAGGCTGCTGCTAATGGTAGCATGTTGATCCACTTCGATGGTGCAGCTAAGTGACTTTCTCCTCGGTTTCCTCTCTTCTCTTCTCTTGTTTTTTATTTTTCTCATCTTCTCTAAAAACAGAGACCTGTTTACGTGACGTGTCATGACTGCTGAGATGTTGTTGACTCTCTTTTGTGTTTATTATAACTTAATATAACAGGTGGGCACCCGCCTGGCTCTTTCAGTTGTGTTGTTTGTTTACATTTTTCAGTTACGTTGACGTCACTACTTCTTCTTCTTAGAGCCCTCTACTATTGCAATACTGCCCCGAGTGGCTGTTATTGTTAAATAATGCTTGCGTTCATTCGGATGAATTTCTTTGAGCTACGACTTCTTTATCCTCTTCGTAATGCAGACTGAGCTCTGTGTAATTATTTATTATGTTTATGTTTAAGTTTACTCATGGTAATGCTCTGGGATTTGGTGTCCAGGGCTGCTGGGCCTTCTTACTGGTTGTTATGCGTTTTTCTGTCTTTTTCTTTTTGTGTTTGAATTTTGTGTATGTCTGTTTTAAATGAATGGTTGAATCTAGCAATCTTTACAATCATAAATCGCATTTATGCGTAACAAGTGACAGGAACATTATTTGCTATTATTTCCAGACTGGATGAATTAAAGGGTATACAAATCCTTCATTTGAATATCAGGAGTCTATTGCCCAAAATTGATTTACTTCGGATTTGGGTTGTTCTACATAAACCTAAAATCATCACACTCTCTGAAACTTGGCTTAGTAGTAACATTTCCGATAGTGAACTACAAATCACAAATTATTTGCTTTACAGATCTGATAGATGCAGCAGGGGTGGAGGTGTGGCTATATGTCTCTTCTGACCTTGTGACTGAGCTAATTGCTACTTCTATAGAGCCTCTACATTTTGAATGCATTTTTCTTAAAATAATTTTTCATGAAAATAAATGCTTGGTAGCATCTATAGGCCACCTTCTTCACCTGCAGAGTCTTTTAACCACATAATCAACACTATCAACTCCATTTCCTGCGGAAATGAAATAATCTTGCTTGGTGATTTCAACAAAAATTGGTTGGATAAATCATCTGATAGAGAGAATAAACTTTTCAGTAGTCTAAATGTTAAACAGCTAATTAATGAGCCAACTCGTATCACTCTTAGAACCCAATCTCTGCTTGACTGGATACTGGTGTCACATCCTGACAGAATCTTAAAAGCTGGTGTCATGTCGGATTGCTTCAGCGATCATTCAATTGTTTATTGCGTATGGAAAATCAAACTATCAGACAATATAAAAAATTGAATGTTGATTTATTAATTATGTTGTTGCCCTTAATTGGGACATATTTCAACTAATACCTTTTGTACAAGATGCTTGGGATTTTCTGCATAAAGAGCTCACTGATGTCATGAACAAACATTCACCTGTGAGAACGGTTAAGGTCAAAGGTCAACATCTCCCTTGGATCAATTCTGAACTCATCAGTCTCTTTAGGGAAAGGGATAAAGCATGGTCGATATATCGTCATTCAAGAACTATAGCCGATTGGGAAGTAGGCATCAGAAATCAGAGTAAAACCAAAACCCGAAATGCTAAATCCAACTACTGTAAAAAATCTCTCACATCAGACTTTAAGAATCCCAAGCAATTTTGGACTAAAATTAAATCTATTTTAAATAAATCAGGTAAACATTCTCTTAATAAAATAAGAACTGCTGATACAATAATTCATGACCCATTATCCATTGCCCAAATATTTAATCAGCATTTCTCTAATGTATGTCGTAAGTCGTACTTCCAAAATTAGAAAGTAGTTAAATAACAAAAACTAAGTCGTACATCAAAACAAAACTCCCTTGGCAAAAGGTATAATTCTCAAAGTAAAGTGTCAGGAGTCAAAAGGCCCAGGTTCTCACGACATGAAACATAATGAACTGACAAGGGAACAAAGAAACACAAGGGCTATTTATAGGTGAGGAGGATGGGCACAGGTGAAAACTATCAGGGCAGGGCCAAGCAATCTCAAGGGCGGGAAACACACAAAGGCAGGAAATGTGGGATCTGGAATGAGAGGGAAGGATTACTTTCAAAATAAAAACGTCCCATATTCTCATGTACCCACTTGCTGATTTGTTCAACCTGTCTTTGTCCACCCGTGAGTTGCCGACTATTTGGAAATGTGCACGCATCACTCCACTGCATAAAGGTGGTGATTTACTTGATACAAATAATTATAGACCAATCTCTATAATCGGTTCTATTTCCAAAGTTTTGGAGAAAATAATTTATAATCAACCGTCACATTATCTCAATACTTATAATGTTTTATCTCCGGTTCAATCTGGTTTCAGGCCTAATCACTCCACAACAACTGCCCTACTTACATTTTCGAATGACTTGTACTCTGCTGCAGATGATGGTGAACTCACAGGTGCCATTTTTATTGACTTGACAAAAGCCTTTGATTTTGTTGATCGATATCTGCTCTTGCATAAACGTCACGGCATTGGCCTTTCTAATAATTCTGCCAGGGTTGGGGAAAAATAGGACCCAAATGCAGAATGAGGAGGGAAGCAGGTTTCAAAATGGAACAAAAGGCGAGCTTTATTCACAAAAAGCTGAAAAAACAAGAATCCATGAACAGGTACAAGGCACGAGGTAGCATCCAAACAAAAAGGGACTGTGACCAACATGAAGGGAGACATGAATGACAAATAATGAACCAACACAGGAAGAGACAAGACTAAATACAGGGAGGGGTAATCACGAGACGAGAAACAGCCGGGCAGGGGAGGAGAAACACAAAGGTAACAGGTGAACACAATCAGACAATTAGACACATCAGGGAAACTAACGACAGGGAGGACAGAACAGCAAAATAACCCCAAAACTAGACACACAAAAACTCAAACCCTGACATAATCCCCCCCTCAAGGGATGGATTCCAGACGTCCCTACACAAAGTCAAACATTTCAAACTGGGTGGTTGGAGGGGGTCCGGAGGACGGGTCTGGATCAACAAAGCCAGCCTGCCAGGCGTTTCTTGGACAAAGCTTTTCCAGTTACCCCATCGCCGAAACACACAAACAGCTGTTCTGTGTGTCTAAGGCCAGCCGTGCGCTCTACATAACATGCCAGCGCACACACCGGGCAGAGGAGGTGCAATTTAGCCTCCCTCGCCCCACTATGGGGGATTTTTAAGATTTAGGGAAATATTCCAGAGAAATTAAGAAATATACCCGTAAAGCTTTGTGTCACCATAAACCATCTAAGTCATCATATTTAGTGAACAGAGCTAGATATTAGTACTGAGTTTTGACCTTTATAAGATGCGGTCTAATAAGACAGTAAAACTTTTTTCTGATTGTTGAACTGTTTGTGTCGGTGTTGGCAGGTCGAAGTTGTGAATCCTGACAACACTCCGGCACCAGGTGTTGCTGTTGTGGTTGAACCAGGCAGTGTGACTGGCATCACCGCAGAAAATGGCATCGCAAGGCTAACCATCAATACAGGAGGGAACCCACTACTACTGACGATCACTGTAAGTCTCTTAAAAATGCATACAGGCACCACAGGCCGCTTTTCAAATGTAAGCTTTGACCTGCAATCAATGAATAATCATTCTAAACATTTTTGATATTCATTTTTTAAGGTGAATTCAAGCAGAGCTATCAGCAGATGTTTTTGCTTCTTTATAGCTCATTGCTTTACTTCCGATTGTTTGCACATTTAATTTACAGTATGTGAAAGGTGAAGCTTATCTTAATCGTAGCCAGGATAAAGATGGAATAGGAAAGACTCAATATTTATTCAACCATATGTATGCTTATGTGTTTCTTTCATTTCAGGCAAAGACGAATGTTCCTCGTATTTCATCGGAAAGACAAGCATCAGCCACCATGACAGCTCTCCCATATATTACCCAAAGCAACAACTATATCCACATAAGTAAGAGACCAGGGGTGGGAATCGTTTTGTATACCACTATTTCATTTTGTATCTTTTGAATAACGGTTTTATTCTAAATTGATCCTCAATTCACTGCATAGAGGTGCTAATTTAGGAATAGACTCCAATCCGCCTTGCGCTTATTATGGCTGTTTGGCAAATTACGGAGTGAACGTAGAGTGAAGCGTGTATGAAATTTTGGATTTTTTATATTTGAGGAAATTATTCAAAGTTAAGATTTGCAAGACTTTGGATGGTATTGAGCCAAATACCTTTAGCCTGTTAAGCCCCATAGCCCCCGTCGGCGGGGGCAACGGGCTTTTTTTTCACGAAACTGTGTCTCAGGGCTTCTTAACATTTAATAAACTATGAATGTGTCATACTCACTTAAAGGGAAGAAACTCAGCTAACTGGCGATACGAACCATTTTCACCGAAACAAAACAGAAGTCTCACAAGAAGCGTCTAAATGAGTCCTGAGCGAAAAAATGCTTACGCACTTAGCACAGAACTCTAGGTATAAATAAATACTTTATTACTTATCGGATCTGCACAAAAAAGATATTAGCTAGCAATCTGGGATTGCACAGATTCTAGAGGTATAAGTACCATCACTGAGCGATCAGTTTTCGCGACATGGGAAGCAAACCCAGACAACACATAACGTAGCTTTAGGTAGCAAAAACGGGAGAAATGTCTTACCTGTTGCTGTTTCTGATCAAAAGTTGTGTTCAATGGCATTAAAACGAGAGAAACGTGTCTGAAGGTTAATCCAATGTGTCTGTGTCACTTTGAAATGATTACTGATAATCCATCATTCCATTCCATATTAGCTGCTATGATAGCTACCAGAGTGTATGACAGCTTCCTGTTTTGGGTATTCTGGCTACGCATCACTCTCACTCCTTATTTAGTAACGTGTAGGTGGATTTAGGAACTTCTCCTCGATTCTATTGGCTTAACAATTAAATAACGTGCTTTAACCACCAGGTGTCCCTTTATATCAGCTGTGCACGGTTATGGTGTAAATACAGCCTATCTACCAATTGGATCAAATATAAAAGTCAGCCGAATTAGTGTTGATACTGCAAGGAGACGTATTGTGTGAAAATAAATGTAAGATGTTGTTTAATTGCTGATATATTTATGATCCACGTCACGTATTCAGTTTTGGCGGCAGTTCTCCTGTTTGTCCAGAAGTCTTCTCATCAGGGCTCTATAAATAGAGAACTACGGCAGATATGTAATATTTAATGCAGCCGAACCGTGTATTACAATGCCGTTATGTGATGACCTTCAAAGAGAAAAGCAAGCACACTCGGAATAAAGAATTATTGTGTTTTTAAAAAACGTTTTCAGATTTCACATCAACAGGAAGTCCGGTTAACTAAAATAAAACCAAATCACCAGCATGCATTGCGGATAACCATCCAATCAGCGAGCTGAGGATCTTGCCTACGTCTGTTTCCGGTTTCGTTTAATGACCGATGTATTTTGTTATACACACATTCCTTCACATTTACATTTTAATGTGCATTAAAGTATTTCGTGAGGCCTTCTAACATGTTTTTAAATATAACTACGGTTGTAGTTGAATAGTTTGTAAATTAACATGAACCGAAGCTGTTGCTTGGCAACTCAATCGCACAACGTCACGTCCGTTAATTCCACATCCACACGCATGGATTAACATCGATTTAATACTTTAATGTAGCCTTTGTTTCTGCTAAAAGAGGTGTCGACCAGCTGGGGCAACAAGAAAATCGGCGTAATCGAGTGTGGCTATTAAAAAATAAATCATTACGTCGGGGTAGCATTTGCTTGGTATTTCCGGTTATTTATCCACTGGTTAACAATACCGTGTAGCTGTCACGTTTGAAGGGACGAAATCGTGACATCTTCACGTCTCCCAGCATGGTAAATCGTCACATGTTCACGTCTTGCCGTGATATCGGGTTGCATTCAACTGTAGTTTTCACTATAAGTAATGTTTTTTTTTTTTGGACGGACACTATAATTTACATTTTGTTACTATGTTCAATCTGAATTTACTTTAAAATAAAATAAATCTATATTGATTCTGACTTTTCTACATCCAACTCACAGGTTTAACATTACTTTGAGAAAAAAGATTATTAATTTGCCCCTTTTAAAAGTGAAGATAGAGTCATTCGTTCTGGGAATGTCATGTTCGAGCCTGAGACCTGAAAAACAAGCTCAGGGCTTAACAGGTTAAAATAATATGCCTGGAAAACATGCTCCTTTTATTATATTTTTCACTTTTATGCAACAAGTTAATATAGAACTCTCTTGCTCTAGAATTACTGTCCATCAGAAGCAATGTAAAATATCATTGTTGTATGGGGAGAAAATGTACTACAATGCTCTACTTTTGAAATACTTGAGATACTGCAATCACAACATGTCATGTTTGCAGGTGTGGATTCAGCTGATGTACGATTAGGAAATAACCTGAAAATCAGCCTCAACCTCGAAAGGCAGGAAAGTCATAACACTGACATCACATACCTGGTGAGAGATGTTTTAAATCTGTGCATGTGTGTTTATACTACCCTTTTTGTTGCGTCCATCAAGTTGTGTAGTGCAGTATACATGCTCATTAGTGCTGATATGTAAGTGTCCCTATAGATCATGAGCAGAGGTCAGCTGGTGCAAAAAGGCAGATACAACACAAGAGGTGAACGACTGATCTCCCTGATGGTTCTCATTACCAAAGACATGCTGCCATCGTTCCGCATCATAGCCTATTACCACACAAATGGGAATGAAGTGGTATCAGACTCTGTTTGGGTGGATGTAAAAGACTCCTGCATGGGCTCGGTGAGACACGCAATACAAAACACACACCAACTGATTTATTTATTACTGTATTCATCTGACATTTTTTAATGTAAGCAACTGGTGCAACAAATCCAAACTGTATGTGTAATTCATTGACCTCACCTTCACATTTAGCTGAAGCTAGAACCATTGAGATCCGCTCCATCCTATGAGCCTGGCATGATGTTTGGTCTGAAGGTTACAGGAGACCCAGGGGCCATGGTGGGACTGGTGGCAGTGGACAAAGGCGTCTATGTCCTTAACAACAAGCACCGCCTCACACAGAAAAAGGCAATTTATTTATATCATATTTTTCTTGCATTCATTGCATGAATACATTTCTAATGACATATCAGAACTTTAATGTGAGTTTCCAGATATGTCTACCTCTTGCCTTTAAGTCTAAGTCTATTTATTTGTGTGTGAATGACTTTCATATGCTCAGGTGTGGGACATTGTAGAGACGTACGACACAGGTTGCACACCAGGTGGAGGGAAGGACGGTATGAGTGTGTTCTTCGACGCTGGGCTGCTGTTTGAGTCCAAAACGGCTTCTGGGACTGCCTACAGACAAGGTGACACTACTTTACTCTCCCCTTCCCTGAACATAGTTCTAAAAAGTGAGCACATACACCTTTATTCATCACCATCAGTCAAGTGCTTCTTTAGAACTGAGCATATTGTGTTCAGTAGAAGAACTGCATCCTAAAGGGTATTTTTATGGCTTTTTATGGCTCCCATATCTGGGTATTTGTGTCTTTGGTTGAATTTGCCCTTTGAGGCATTTCCAAGTTTCCAAGAGCTGAATTGTCCTTATTATAAGGCGGTTTTAAAACACACCTTTAGCACTTATTCTAAAAAAGTTTATCATTTACATAAATCAGACGTTCAATATCACATGTTCTCACCCCTGTATGAGAAACTTCTGCAGCAATGGAGAGTCAGGACTCGGAGAGACACGAGGAGAGTTGGAGCTTTGATGGCAAACACTGGTGGTTTATTACAAGTATCAGCCGGAGAATTCACAAGACATGTCACGGGCCACGGTTTGACCACATGGTTGAGATGCCACAATCAATTCTGACGCGCCTCTCTCCTGCTAGACCTTTTAAATGGTTTACAGAGAGTAATCAACATATTGGGAGAGATAACGTAAACATCTGGAGACACTGAATCACTTGTCTGTGGTGCTTAGGCTCGAAGTCAGCATTCCCACAATCATAAACCATCTCGTGACCGAGAGTTGACCGGTCATAAACTGAGAAATATCAACATATGACTGCATTAGCACATTCCTTACAGGAGATAACAGAGCCAGGGTTGGTCATAAATGTCAACAGGCAAAAGGTTAAATATCTAGGAGTAAAGACAGAAATATTCCCTAACAACCCCCACACCCTGTTCACGTGTACCAGAGAAATCACCTCACTCTGATTTTAAAAGTTCCACATCAATTATACAATGCTAAAGGTAAGTTGAATATTGTTGAGTTCTGTAAAAGATTTTGTCTCTGTTGCTTTTTTTCCAGAATTGAAATGTCCGGCACCGAGCAGGAGGAAACGAGCCACCACATTCATGGATGTCAGAACCAGCTTACGTAAGAACCATAACTCTATACAAAACAATAGCCTAATTTCCTGTTATCTTCTGTCTGAAAAGTATTTCTTACAAGTTTATGTTCTCAATCCCTAGGTTCCCATTTAGAGTAAAATACATATCAAACCATGGTATGGTTTAGGTTGCGCCTATCTTTTGGTTGTCAAGTAGCTAGTATGCATTTTCCTTTGGTTTGATATTATCCAATTTCGGTTGACCATATGTTTTTGTTTTGAACTCTTTGTAAAAGTCTATTTTAAATCCATGAGTCCCTGTTCTAATTAACAGATGGCAACTGCCAACATGCCAGACCTTAGCTTTAAAGTTGTAGTTAACAAACTGATGGCCGAAATAATGGTAAATACATATATTTCTTATATACAGTCTATGCTTCCATCACACAGTTCATGTTAATCAGATACATCAATGTGTCCACCTCCTCCACTTCAGGAGGGACGGTTCAGGTAGAGTCGCACGAGAAGCCCCCTTTGTAGATGTGGAGAGCAATGGATGGTGGTGTGGAGCTCAAGCTTGAGTCTAGGTCTAGTGACAGCGGTGGATGAAGGCTTGAAACAGGGAGTACAGACAACAACTGGGAGGGGTCATGCTGTGCTGCAGGTCAATAGCACAGTTATATGGGTGGAGGAGGAGAGCTTGCCTTGACTCAACTGAAGACTTCTTTGAAGTCATCTAGGCTAGCGGGGTAAAGATGAGATAGGAAGGTCAGGGGCCGGCAGGATAGGCAACAAGGAAGCAGTCTGGAATAGTTTTGGAAAGTCCAGCATCAGTAGCATAGGACAATTTGTCAATGAGTTACTGAGCAAAAGAGGCTTTTATGCTGGCTTGAATAAGATGTGAGGTGGAGATGAGTGAAGTTACCATGGTGCAGATGGCAGGGAGAGAAGCAGACTGTGGCAGTGCAGGCTCTCCACATGTTTGTAGATGGTGTGGTTTCAGATTATTCTTCCATGCCATGCTAGAGTATGTATTGTGAAAGTCAAAAGGGAAAGCCATTTTTACTTTATTTTTCATTTAGTTAATAGTCAATGTGTTCCTTCATACTGCATATTGTTCCTTGAAAGAAAACAATGTTTTGTTTCAAGTTAACCCTTCCTGCACAAATCTTTATCTCTCCGTCTCTTCTTCAAAACCCTTTTCTTTATAGTGAGTAACTATAAAGAAAAACTGCAACGGGACTGTTGTTTGGATGGCATGAGGGACACCCTCCTCTCTTACACCTGTGAAAGGCGTGTAGAGTACATTGTTGATGGTGAAGCCTGTGCAGCAGCCTTCCTGCACTGCTGCAAGGACATGGAAAACCAGCGAGCTGACAGCAAGGTGGAGAGCCTTCAACTGGCTCGCAGTAAGAGACCGGGATAAGGGATGGGCTGAAGCCCTGGGTGATCATTTGTTGCCATAGTAGTAGTAACAAACCATTCTGAATGAAAATATGTTTGACACTCTAGGTGAGGAGGATGACGACAGTTACGCTGACAGCAATGAAATGACTTCTCGCACCAAGTTCCCTGAAAGTTGGCTGTGGTCAGATATCACACTTCCTAATTGCACTGGACGAGACGAATGGTAAGTCAACCGACATACACACACAAAACACACTAACTTCAATAGTGACGCCTACACTTACCTCCCAAAGATGTAACACTGTTCTTTGTTTTCAGTGAAACCACATCAATGACTAAAAATGTTCCACTGCAAGACTCAATCACCACCTGGCAGTTCACTGGCATTAGTCTGTCAACTACTCACGGTGAGGATTCAGTGACTGAAAGCTGTTTCGTTTAGGAATCTAAACTTGAACTTGTTTTATCCCTTAAATCTTCTCTCTCTCTTTCTCTTTGTAATCCCTTTTTATTGTCCCTCTCATCTTAAAGGAATCTGTGTTGGTGATTCGTTAGAGGTGATTGTCCAGAAGGAATTCTTCATTGATCTCAGGCTGCCATACTCTGCTGTCCGGGGAGAGCAGCTGGAAGTTAAGGCAATCCTGCACAACTACAGAGACAATCCTCGAACTGTAAGTCTGTGTTAAATACAGTATAAGAGGCAAGAGAACATTTTAGACTAAAGGGCAAAATCAACAGCAAATATTCAACTGACATACTGTATCAATAAAGAGAGTGAATAACCTTCCTACTCTAGACTTTTCATACCTGCTCACATAGTGGTTGGCCTGCGACTATCGTTTTTCCAACCCAGTTTAGATTTAATTTATAGGCCTACCTGCGTGATAAAAAGCATGACGTAGCTCTGAACAAATGCGTCATGGATGTTGTGAGACTGACCGTTGCGTGGCCCGACAAAGCAAGGAGGCAGAGAGTTCAAATATAACCCGGTGTGGGCATTTATTTCTCATGTGCACATAGTCACTAGCCTCAATATGACTGTATTCCCTGAACACAGTCAGCAGCCACAAGGATCTCACACACACTACCTGTCCACTGACAGGGAAAACAGAGCCTAAATACACACACTAATCAATCAACAAGACACAGGTGAGGGGGGAGGAGACAACGCAGGGCCCCAGGTGAACACAATCAACAACACTGAAGCTACACAACCCGTAACGGAGGCCGAGATCTATGGGCCCAGAGATCACCTCCGTGACAGATGTAAAAATAGAATATTGAGGTCCCCATCCAATCAATGCTCTAGTAATAAAAGCTTGGAAAAAAACTATAGGGCCGCTTAATCTGATCAATTCAGTGTTTATGAGAACACCAAGAAGTATTCAAAAATAGCTATTTCTATCTACTTTGAAAAGGACGCTGTCGTGGCTTCCTTCCTTGTCTTTCCACTAAGCCACTAGACGCCTTAAACAGACAGTTCTAACTCGTTTCTTTCCTTTAAATTACTCACAGTTTGAAGAGTTGCTCGGCCTCCGATGGTTTAGAAGTGTTTGCTCAAAATAACATAACAAACTTTTGCACATGCAACAAAGAAAATAGGTCTTTACAATATTCAAAAGAAATGGGCAAAACTCAAATAAAATAACAAACAACTTAGGTATTCTTTCTCTCTTGATAATACTTATAACTTCATAACTTAAAGAGTACTTGTACAATTTGTATGTACGTGTACGAGTATGGTTCAAAACTGTTCCTCGACGGCGTCTCTCAACAGGTTGCCCATCACTGTGGCTTTAGCCCAGGCGCCGTGGGAATTGTAGTCCTTTAAAGTGCGTTGACTACAGACGTCACAATTAGGTGGCCTTTCTTATAAAATCTAAATACTGGCTCTAACAGACGCTCTATGTAGCGACTGTAGCTATCAATTCCATATTTCGTGGGATGAAAATGCCACAGGTGACGCTCTGATGCTACATTAATGCTAGTGGGCACCATGTCTGAACTGGGATGGAAAAACGATAGATGCCTCAGCAGCGGGAAACCTTACTGCATTATCAACAGTGTGCCTTTTATTATTAAGATCAGATTGATCCTGTAAAAAACACTGGATATCATCAAATGTGAATTAAAATCAGGAAAGCATTATCGATGGATGAGCTAAAATAAAACTGATGTAATCCTATTGTGTCCTCAATAATAGTCTTTATCTTTGAGCAACTTCACGATCTCCAGTCCATCTTTGTCCTGTTCTCAAGGTGCGGGTTGATCTGATTGAGGAGGATAATGTGTGCAGTTCGGCTTCAAAGCGTGGAAAGTATCGCCAGGAGGTCCGAATTGGGGCTCAAACTACCCGATCTGTGCCCTTCATCATCATTCCCATGAAAGAAGGAGAATTCCACATTGAGGTCAAAGCTGCTGTTAAAGGTTCATCGATTAATGATGGAATTATGAAGATGCTGCGGGTGGTGGTAAGAAAAAGACTCCATGTCGTGTTTTTTCTTACACCATGTGGAATTGTTCTCTTATTGCAATAAAATGTTCAAGCTGCCATCAAAAAGTACTCATCCGAGGTCTGTAGCATTATGGATGTAATATTCTTGTTACTACTTTTAGTTTCAAGCAACACAGCTTGGAGCCAAGACCAAGTCGTTTTTATCTTTTAAAGACCTAGAAAGGGTTATTAACGCCTTTGTTACCTCGAGACTGGATCACTGCATCGCTCTGTATGTGGGTATGGATCAGGCGTCAATCAGACGCCTGCAGCTAGTTCAGAACGCAGCAGCTGCACGTCTTCTCACTGGCCACAAAAGCGTGGCCACATCACCCCAATTCTGGCCTCACTGCACTGGCTTCGAGTTCGGTTCAGAATTGATTTTAAACGTATTTTATTTGTTTTCAAAGCCCTAAATGGGCTGACTCCGGCCTATATAGCCGAACTCCTCCATCGCCACACCCCAGCCAGAGCCTTAAGGTCGGCTGACCAGCTGCTGCTGATAGTGCCCAAGACCAGGCTCAAAACCCGAGGGCACTGAGCCTTCGCAGCAGCTGGCACCAGGCTCTGGAACACTCTGCCCCTCCATGTGAGGTCGGCCCAGACCCTGGGGGTTTTTAAATCCACACTTAAAACACACTTCTTCTCCCTGGCCTTCTAGTCAGAGCGGAGCACGACTCCTGACTTTTCCCTGTGTGTGATTTTTTATTTTTGCTGTTGTATTTGTTGTAAAGTGTTTTTATTGTAAAGTGTTTTTATTGTAAAGTGTATTTATTGTAAAGTGTTTTTATTGTATGTACAGCACTTTGGCTCGACCACATTTTTTTTTTTTAAATGTGGTAGATAAATAAAATTTGATTTGAAAGCTACAGTTACAGGTATGAGAGATATAGTCTGGTAAAGTCAGTTTCGTAAACTGTCATGTTTATGAAATGCATCTTATTGATATATAAAAACCTTATTTAAATTTGGACCATACTTCACTTTGATAAACAACAGCAAACAAAGATTAGTCAAAAAGTTAAGCCAATAATTGTAATTTCTAATGTTTGTCCTAACTGTTGTTTTTCCAGCCTCAAGGTGTACTAGTAAAAGATCCTAAGATTATAATTCTAGACCCCTCTAATAAAGGTGTAGGTGAGTTGCCTTGATGAAGGACATAGCTGCATTTTACAGTATAGTGGTTTATCAACGTTATGTTTTTATCTGTTGCTAATTGATGCTGCAACTTGCTGCTGTTTCTCCCTTTAGATGGTGAACAAGTAGTAATTATCAACAGTGGAATTGCCAAAAAAGATTTGGTTCCAAACGCACCAACAAGCACACAGATCTCTGTGACAGGTGGGACATGATGCCATGTCAGTGCATGTACAATGGAAACTATTCATACAATTGGTATAAATTGTTATTGTTCTTATTGGAAATATCTACCTCACTGGTCGTTGGGGAACTTTGTTGTTTGCTTAGAGGTTTCTTCTTGTTGATTCATAACGTGTTGTGTTTATTTTCTGTCTGTCTGTGTTCATTCAGGGAGAGAACAAATGTCTGCCCTCGTGGAGAACGCTGTTAGCGGGAACTCTATGGGTACTCTAATCAAACAGCCCGGTGGCTGTGGAGAGCAGAACATGATCGGCATGACCCTACCTCTCATTGCAGCCACATATTTGGACAAAACCAACCAGTGGGAAGCTGTGGGCATTGAGAAACGTAATGAAGCCCTCCAACACATCAAGACTGGTAGGCTCACTGATGTATTTTTAGTACAGATAGCAGAATCTTATTAATGCCACTGTGATTTTAAATTGTCTGACATTGTAGAAGAGGTTTGAAAAAGAAAATCAATCCACACCACCCCTGTCCAGCCCTCATTTGGGTTTCCCTTTTTAAAACAAAAGCCTATGCCAGCAGAATCATTTGAAAGAAGCTCTAAGGACTGAAAAAGATTCAGGACTCCTTAAACTGGCTTCTAATCAATAAGATTAGGTAGAGCAATGATATTCACTTTTTAAAACGGTTGTATGTATATGTTTGTGTACAGGCTACAACACACAGCTTAACTACCGGAAAACAGATGGGTCTTTTGCTGTGTTTCCAAATCACCCAAGTAGCTCCTGGTGAGGCATTCAAACATCCTTGAACTCACACAATGATGTATGTCACGTATGAAACTATTACACCTTCTTCTCTCCTCTAAGGTTGACAGCCTATGTTGCCAAGGTGTTTGCCATGGCACACAATCTGGTGGCAGTGCAAAGTGCACACATCTGTGAGGCCATCACGTTTCTGATTCTCAACGCACAGCAACCTGATGGCTTATTTAGAGAAGTTGGAAAGGTGTTCCATGGAGAGATGATGGTGCGTTCACTGGTTTCATAGAAATCTGTTTTTCATCTATGTGCTACAAAAATTGCTAATCTGTTTGAAAACAATAACGTGTGTGTGTGTGTGTGTGTGTGTGTGTGTGTGTGTGTGTGTGTGTGTGTGTGTGTGTGTGTGTGTGTGTGTGTGTGTGTGTGTGTGTGTGGTGTGTGTGTGTGTGTGTGTGTGTGTGTGTGTGTGTGTGTGTGTGTGTGTGTGTGTGTGTGTGTGTGTGTGTGTGTGTGTGTGTGTGTGTGTGTGTGTGTGTGTGTGTGTGTGTGTGTAGGGTGATGTGCGTGGCTCAGATTCAGATGCCTCCATGACGGCCTTCTGCCTCATTGCTATGCAGGAGTCACGAACGCTATGTGCTGCCAGTATTAGTGTGAGTACTTTACCTCCACACAATGTTTTCTCTTTTTCCCTCATCTGTTTCATTTATTTATTTACCGTCTATCCAACATGCTCCGGGTCCATAAAGTGAAGCCAATCCGGATGTGCCTTTAAGCTGCATCTAATATCCAGCAGGGGGCGACTCCACTGGTGGCAGAATCAAGTCAGATTGTATAGAAGTCTAAGAGAAGATAAACCAACTAATTTTCCAAATTAGTTTATGGTCACAATCGCTAGATTTGAGTCTTCTTTATTGAAGCATGATGTTCATTTGATAAATGATGGTCCTATTTAGAGTAAATAGACTATTAATCAGTGTATATGCTTTATGGTGTGGCCACCATGAGATTGAATAGTAGCTAAAATAGCGTTATCCGGTTGGGATGTTGTCCATGTTTTAGTTTTCGACTCTCTAATAGTCTGTTTTTAGTTCAAGAAAGACATTTTTTTCTTTACGTTGCCTAAAAATGTCTATCTGACTGTTCTCGCCTTATTCTCTTTCCTCCCTTACTTTTTGTACAGAGTCTACCCCGCAGTATAGACAAAGCGGTGGCCTATCTGGAAAGGCGTCTGCCCAGCCTAACCAACCCATATGCTGTTGCCATGACATCATATGCCATGGCCAATGAAAACAAAATGAACCGCGAGATCCTCTACAAGTTTGCTTCCCCAGGTGCTGTTACTATTCTTAAACTATTATTTGGAAACATAGTCTATGTTTTGGTGATTAGATTCAAAACGATTTCTCATCCACAACTACTAAGAGCCGGACCAACACATTGGTATTATGGGATGATTTTTGCTCAGTACAGAAATGTCAAATGTTTGAACTAATTTAGAAACAGTCTCTAATGGACATAAATAGTCTTCCAGCCATACGATGTCCTGTAACAAATACTGTTAACACTTTTTGAATAACAGATATATGGGGATTTGTTAAAATTCTTAAGAGCGAGCACATTTTAATATTTCCTAATGTATTTTATTTATACATTATTTTCTAAGATGAAATATCCTGGATTTATAAGTAAATAGATTGATGTATAGAAAAGTAATGGGAAGATATTTCTTTGTCGTCATTAGAGTTGAACCACTGGTCGACACCTAAGGGAGGTATCTACACACTGGAGGCTACGGCGTACGCTCTTCTCGCTCTGGTCAAGGCCAAGGTGAGCATGTCGCATTTATGTGTGTTCCTTTCATGCTACAGACAACATTCAATTTAGTCCTTATCCATGCCACCTTAATATAAAGGTTTGTATTCAATTGTCAATGAAATGTGTCAGTCAGTAATGTCACAGCCTTAAAATATAAGTGAAATGTTACCCTTTTAAGTATCCAATATTTTAAAGGTGGGGTAGGTAATGTTGGAGAAACCAGCTCGAGTATTACAATTATTAAGTAACCAATTTGATTGTCTTTTTTTATATTTGTATGTTTTTTTTATAATTCTAATGAACAGTGAATGACAGAAAAGTTCAACCATGTACCTTCCTTCTGTGAATAAAGGCTTTTGAAGATGCCAGACCTGTTGTGAGATGGTTCAACAAACAGCAGAAAGTTGGCGGAGGCTATGGATCGACTCAGGTAAGAAGAGACTCCTCTCTCCATCTTGATCCCTCCATCCTGTTTTAGATTATCATTTATTTTGTTCTGATTCATTTCCCCCCACCTCCCTCTCTTAAGGCCACCATTATGGTGTACCAGGCAATATCAGAGTACTGGTCCAGTGCTAAAGAACCAGAGTACAATCTGAACGTGGATATTTTGTTGCCGGGCAGGTTAACGCCTGAGAAGTACAACTTCAACAGGGATAACCACTATGCCACAAGGACATCTAAAGTAAGCACAGACACACACTCACAAACAGTGGCTCATTAAGGTGGCATATGTTTGTCTCAACACAGTTTGTGTGAACAGATTGAAATCATGCATGTGTATAGTGTGGGTAGTCTCCTGGACTACAAACACATCTGTAAACTCTCAACAAATAAATTGAACAATAAAAGTGATTTGAAAATAGAGAAAAAAACTAATTTCAGTTTTACTAAAAATACTAAAGAAGCACATTTGAAAACCTATATTCTTAACATATTTAACTTTTGAACTGAATTTAGTTTTATTTATGAATTCTAGAGTCCCTTGAGGATCTCAATTCTTCCATGGAGATTTGCCAGATTAATCAGATATTTTTGAAAAAGTTGTAAATGTACAGATTGCATATTTACACACTGATCATTGATTTCATCACACAAATAATAAATACTTTAATATCTGCTTATCCCTGACTGCTTGTGTTTGTGTTCATATTTAAACTCTGACAGATCAATGAAATAAACCAGAATGTGACAGTGACTGCCAGGGGTTCAGGAGAAGCAACAGTGACAGTGAGTACAATATATTTGTATATGTTATACTCTGAGTTTAAATAACAGTTAATAACTGATCCGTCCTTTTTTTATTAAGATTTTACCTAATACCCTTTTAACCTTGTGAGGACTCATATCAAATATTACACCTTCTCTGTGACAGATGGTGTCGCTGTACTACGCTCTGCCTGAACAAAAGGAAAGTGATTGTCAGAAGTTTAACCTGTCAGTGCAGCTCATCCCAGGTGATTTAGTGCCTTCTGTCTCTTCTTCGGTTGTTGTACCTTACTCTTGAGAAACAAATGAACTAAATATGAATATAATATTTCACTCCTGCAGAAAAATTTTATGAGAACGAGAAGATCTACAAGCTGAGGATAGAAGTGTTGTAAGTACAACCAAGGCAACACACTGCCACATGGCTTTATTCATAACATTTTCTAACCAGCTATTTACAATATTATTATATTTCACAATCTGTATTAAATATTCTGCTTCTGTTCATTACCCTTTTCACTATGTTCTTAACACTTTCATTTCCTTCAATCTATTCTGTGTACAGGTATAAGGACAAGGAAAGAGATGCAGCAATGTCAATTTTGGATATTGGCTTGCTAACCGGCTTCACCGCTAACACAAAGGACTTGGACTCAGTAAGAACTCATACACAGTAACCCACAACAAATGCACTGTCACGGTTCCTGTTAAGAGAGAAAAGTGTGTGTGTGTGTGTGTGTGTGTGTGTGTGTGTGTGTGTGTGTGTGTGTGTGTGTGGGTGTGTGTGTGTGTGTGTGTGTGTGTGTGTGTGTGTGTGTGTGTGTGTGTGTGTGTGTGTGTGTGTGTGTGTGTGTGTGTGTGTGTGTGTGTGTGTGTGTGTGTGTGTGTGTGTGTGTGTGTGTGTGTGTGTGTGTGTGTGTGTGTGTGTGTGTGTGTGTGTGTGTGTGTGTGTGTGTGTGTGTGTGTGTGTGTAGTTGTCCACAGGACATGGGCGCACCATTGCAAAATATGAGATGAACAAAGTCCTGTCAGAAAGAGGCTCACTCATCCTCTACCTGGACAAGGTAAGATGTCGCTGTTTCCTTCCTCCATACTTTTCCTCTCTGCCTTGCTCTTTGTGTTTGTATCTCTATCTCACCTTTATCTACAGGTTTCTCACACACAACCAGAAGAAATCATTTTTAGGGTTCATCAGACAATGAAAGTGGGCGTCTTACAACCAGCGGCTGTATCTGTCTATGAATACTATGAGCGTGAGTCTTAGAGAAACCTCCATGTCTTTAGTTCCCAATAGATGTCAGAGAATATAACACTGTCTAAAAGCAGGCATTATTATTTGTTGAAGTATTTAATATATATTTTATAAAGTACCGGAAGAACCTGTTTCAATATCTTTCTCTTCTATTGCAGAAACACATTGTGTGCAGTTCTACCATCCAGAGAGGAAAGGTGGACAGCTACTGCGGCTCTGCAGAGGTGATGAGTGCACATGTGCTGAAGGTAAACAGGTCAAAGCAACCTTACCCATCAATTCTAAACTTGTATTTGTTCCATTTTTTATTCTAAATAACACAACACTTAAATTGTGCTTTGTAGAGGTAGACTGCAGGTCTGAGGTCTGTAAACTGCAGCAGTGTATCACCATACTTTGAAAACAAAGACTCAGAAGCTATACAGCAATGCTAGTAGCTGAGAGTCGTACCTATGGACAGCAGCACTAAATGCTATTCCCCAATCATAGTTGTTGAGATATTTCAGTGTTGACCCAAGTGTTGGAGCCACTAAACGACAGACAGACGTTGTCCCCATGAAAGCCACACTGCAAGCATCGAATCATAATGATATCACCAGGAATTGTCTCTCAGATTTACAACATAAATCATGGAGTTGTACTCCTTATGAGGAAAGCACTTAGTTTCACATCTGGTAAAGGAGAATGCTGTAGAATTGAGTTTGCAGTAAATCACCAGATTGAAACATAAGCACCTGAAGTCTAAAAGAAACCTCACTAATAATCTAAATGGTGACGTAAATACAGCTGCCTTCATCCATGCTCATGTACTACTATAAACATTTGATCGGATGTGTTATAACTTTATGCTAATTGTGTATTTCCAGAGAACTGCAGTATGCAGAAGAAGGAGAAAATCAGCAATGATCAGCGCAAAGATAAGGCTTGTGAGAGTACACCAACCAGCAAAATAGATTTTGGTAAGAGAGCATAAATGGATTGAATTTACTCAATATAGTACTTTTATACACCAAACATGCATTTGTTTGATTGTGTGTGTCTAAGAGGTTGGGAGAAGAAGTGAGCAATGAAACAGATGAGCTAACAATCTACAATGTGTCTGTCCTCAGTGTACAAAATGAAACTGGAAGTGTTTGAAGGTGGTTTGTCCACAGACATTTACACAATGCATGTTCTGGCTGTCATCAAAGAAGGTGGGTATCTATTAACTGCCTAAAATGGAGTAGCCCCTGATGTTTCTAGGGTGCCGTAAAGGGTTAGGTGACTTAGCAGTGGGTTTACCTCCTTTTACATTTTGTGTGCACATTTAAACTCAGTCAGACAATAACATACAACTTTTAAAATGTTGGTGAATGCATTTATGTCAGGCAGTTAGATGTCAACACCGGTCATTTTCATGTTTCTAGGCAAAATAAGATGTTCGACTTGTTTCATGTATTAGTGCAGCTAGCAGCTTGTTGGCTGGATAATTATTATACAGTCGTGAGTGGGATACATTGAAAGGGGCCCTATTATGCTCACTTTTATGATTCATATTTATATTTTGGGGCTCTACTGCGACATGTTTACATGCTTTAATGTCAAAAAAGTGCTTTTTTTAATATTCTCACTGCCTGAGCTGCTGCACCTCTTTTCACCCTCTGTCTGAAACCAGAGCCCAGTCTGCTCTGATTAGTTAGCTGGCCGGCTCTGTTGTGATTGGTCAACCACTTGGAGTTGTCCCGCCCCTTAGCCTCTCATGTAAGACGTGTTGGGGGCTAGACAATAGAAGCGCAAGTGTTATATGTAGTGATGTCACTATGTCGCAGTAAACAAGCCGTCCAATAGAAGAGTTTCGAGCAGGGGGTGGGAGTGTGTGTCTGAAACTCCCTCTGGAGGGAACACGGGGATTTCAGCCTTTGCAGACCATTTACATGCACAACAACCCATACAACTGCAGGAGAGGGAAACCCCAAAAAGCAGAATACAGCCCCTTTCACTTTTGGACAGAAGGCAAATAAGTGCGTTTCCAGAAACGTGTGTTCCTTTCAGAATGATTCCACTGGAAATATGTAATAATAAAGTGCTTTTGTTTTATGATGAATGATTAGCTATCCATTTGATCCTCACCTTTTCTTTGTTCTCCTCATTTTAAACAACAGGAACGTTTGATGTGGGTCCCCTGAATAACCTTCGCACATTCCTCAGTTATCCGCACTGCAGGGAGTCTTTAGATTTGGTTGTTGGCAATACGTACCTTATCATGGGAACATCAGATGATATTCGCAGAGATGAGGCACATCAAACGTAAGTTAGATCTTTCTGTTTCACCGCTTTTTATACTAAATCAAGTCAATATTTGTTGTACTCATTTACTGTTGCCATTGATCAAGTAATAAAGTATCCAGAAGGAGGAAGGAGGCTTTCTTATGTTATGTTTGAATGTTACAGATAGCTGTTCACATGATGAAGACCTAACGTGTTTTTCACTCTGCTCTCCTTAGGTATCAGTATGTACTTGGAGAAAGTACCTGGATCGAGTACTGGCCCACAGAAGCTGAGTGTAAAGCTGATGAACAACCTACCTGTTTGGGCATGGAGAAGATGACCGACCATGCCCTTGTATGTCAGCATTAGTGAAACTCAAGAAAATTAATTGTTTTTGGAATTGTTTATATTTGGACATTATTCCCATCTTGTACGACTTTCACTGCTATAAGATGTATGGGCTTACAATGTTGCAGTGTATTGATTACAATTAAATGATCTCAATCTCATTTTCTGTATCTTATATTCATATTCACTTTTAGTTAATGTAGAAAATTAGACAAATATGTAACTCTTGTGTTGGTTATAGTAAACGTTGATGAGTTCTTACCATTTAAACTGATAAATGATATTTTTTTTAAGTCTTTAAAGGTGGGGTAGGTAAAGTTGGAGAAACCAGCTCGAGTGCGCTAGAATTTGAAAATACACAGTCGGAAAAAATCTGCCCCTTCCTTACAGAGCCCCTCCTCCAACACACATGAACGCGCACATGACCAATGAGGGCACGAGATCAGTTTGTGCCCAGATGGAAGGCTGACAGGCAGGTAGGCCATCCAGTTACTTTAGCCGGCTCAGATGATTGGTCGTGCTTTTTACAGCGCCACGGCTTCCACTGATGAAATGTTGTTATAGAGCCAGGTGTGGTGATGTTGGTCCCCATAAATGCCATTTATTTGTAGTAGGACCTTTTTTAAACTGATCCGGGATATTCACAGACTCATGAAACTTTACTAAAACACACTACAGATTGAGGGCTTTCAGAGGCGTATTACTTCCCTTAGTGTAATGTCAATATAGTGCTTTTTGAGCAGTAAAAAAACACATTTCTTGAAGGAAACTCCACATTTTAGAAGTGTTTGAAGCCATACACAATATGATGTTTCCTTTAGGTTCTTGTTATTTTGTGAAGGGAATTTAAAGAGCAACTTGCAGGTTAGAGACACCAGTGAATAAATGTGTAGGAAAATGATGAATACACTAGATTTTCAAAAAATATATACAGAAATATACACCACAGTGACATCTGGCGTCGTTTTTGTAAGACATTTTTACTTCCACATAAAAAAAGCCTCCCCACGTGACCTCCCGCGTGTGACGTAACATGGGGGAGAGAGGCCGGTCTAACGTATGAATAAACATGGATCACAATGCTAGTTTTGACACAGAAGAGGTTGAAAATATATATTCGAATGCATATGATTATAATTATGAGCCTGCTAGGCGTCCAAGAGACCAGGAGCAGCCAAGGATTAGAAGAAATAACGGCCATCGGAGAGAAATGGAGCTGTGGTGTGAGGAGAACCAGTGGAGAACAGGGCAGCTGTCTTGGTGAGTGACCGGCGTTAGCTACAGTTAATGTTAGCTAATGTCAGTCACATCACAACATTGTAAAGTTAGCTATCATATACAGGGTCGGCTCTAGAACAAATCGAATGGGGGGGCAATCATTTACCAAGGGGGGGCACACACTGCCGTCAACAACCAACACACAAACACCAACGCAACTTCAATTTAAAAAAACATGCTGTAAAGTCTATTGTCTTTCACACACATTGCAGGGGTGTAGTGCTATTGTATAGTGCACCTATGACTTGTGCATACATGCACGGTTGTGGCACGACCACCAAAACAGAAACATATAAGGACAGAGGGTGTCGTTTTCTCATACTGATATTCTGCACAAACTGTGCTGTTGTATTTGTTGTAAAGTGTCTTTACTGTAGGTTATTTTTTATTATATGTACAGCACTTTGGCTCGACCAAAAATCGTTGAAAAATTTGCTATATAAATAAAACTTGATTTGATTTGATATGGACATAGGCCACCATATAAAAGTGTGCAAATGTATTTAGTATCCTATCCATGTGAACATGTTTTAGGTGGGAGTGGACCTAACCTCTAGGAGGGTCTGGGGGCATGCTCCCCCGGGAAGATTATTTTTAAAATATTGAAGTTAAAAGCATCAATCTGGTGCACTTTGAGAGCAAAATGAACAGATCTATGGATAGCCTACTTCTCTCAGCATCCATATGAAACAGAACTGTACACAGATTTACTTTTTCTTTATGGATATTTTACTAATCATTCCCCTTTTAAACTGTATTCTTGTGTTACTGTCCAATAGTATTTCATACCCGTTTTTCATGTATTCTCTCTTTAACAACTATAATGATCATATAAAGGTATTCCTCGAAAATACTTACATAAATGGTGACCAAACCGTTTGAGACCCACTGAGATAACTTAACCTACACTAAAGTGAACTATCTAAACACTGAGAGAGTCCTTACCTCACTGAGCTGACGTTATAAGATCCTCTCAGTCTGACAGGAGAGGACTCTCCTCCACCTTGGTGTAGAAACAGCCCTTTATATCCGTTAGCATAGCTAGCTAACCAGATGCTAACAACATTCCACGTTACCACTCGCACACTCACAAAATGCGCTCGTGCCACACAGAGAGCCGAGCTTGAATGAAACACAGAGACCCATGTACTTGTACTGTACTGTACTGTATATCATATTATTTTCGATGGCTTTACTGTATAATCAGTGTAACAGATGGACAGATCGCCACTGGGCTTTCATCTAAACACACAGCCACGTAATGATAACAAAAAAAAGGTCGGGGGTCATTGGTCAAGCAACACACCAATCAGAGAGCAGCAGTGAGCACACCTCAGGCTGTGTTTTATATTTGTATTCTTTATTTCTGATGTATTTCACACAAAAAACCTTTAGTTGAAACGTTTTCACTTATATGATTAAAAAAAGAAAAAACGGCAAAGTGGCAAGGCTTGCCAACCCTGCGTTGGGGGGGGCACAGTGACTCATTTGGGGGGGCATGGCCCGCGAATGACCCCCCATGAAGCCGACCCTGATCATATATCAGGCTATAACTAAAGTAGAATTGATAATATAGTAACGTTACTGGCAGGACTGTTGATACTGATCCATAACAGAAACTAATGCGCAAGTATCAGCCGTATCTCGCGTTACCTAATGCAACTCCACACTAGTGATGTTCAGTGGCGTTTTCTCCCGGAGGCCAAGGGAAGCCAAGCTTCCTCTGTTTTTTCGGATTGTAGTTATAATTTAAATAAATAAATAAAAACACTTTGTTTTGTTTCGATAATTCTCCTTTACTGTGTGTTGCTGCCGGCCCGTCTCTCCCCCATTCTCATTGAGTATTTTACAAAGAGTGAAACAAATAGCGCCCCTCTAGATGTTATGGTGAAACAGTAGATTGCACTCACTGTTGCGAGAGGAGGCCAGCCGAATCTGGCTTCCTTTGGTGAAAAAAAATGGAGGGATTGACCAATCAGATGAGGCCCACGTGATGCCCCTGCCAACCTGTGATTGGTCAGGGCCATGCCAAGGGAAGCCAGCCGCCTCTAGCTTCCCTTCAGGGGCGGCTGGCGGCTGGCGATTTGATTGGACACTGCCATCCAATCAAATCACATCAACATCAGTTTTAATACTGTAACTGTCATCACCGCCGTTAGAAATTATCAAGCAAATGAAGCATTATGGAGGGTGGAGATTTGGCGTACTTAATCAAACATAACTTTACTAAACTTCCGCTACAGCAGCAACTAAAAATTAAATCAGATGACAGGCCAATGCCCGCACTCGAGCTGTGTGTACACAGAGGAAAAAGGGAGAGAATCGGACGTTCAATGAGGACAATTATGTCCGCACAGAGTGGCTAACTGGAAGCGCTAAACTTCAGCGTCTATTTGGCTGGCCATGTCTTCTTTTTGACAAGGATTCGTGCTCCCTGAACAATACTTGGGCAACTTCAGGATTCATCGACCTTGCCAACCTGTCACGGGCAATTGAGAGGCACGGTAAATCCAAAAATCACATAGATTGTGTGATTGTCTGCATACATTAATAAGTAAAATGCTTAAATTAATAAGAAGAGAGTTTCAGCTGGAGAGTGCGTGCGGACCTGTCGGTTAGATAACAGGCGTGTGCAAGTCCTGCATCTGTGTGATACAAATGTGTGTAAAATGATACCGGGCGCTGTAATCACTCATCTGGTTACGTTATTGACCGCCCCCCGACCCAAAAAATGGGCTTCCCCTACATTTTTCCCCACGCCACGCTACTGGTGATGTTACGTATTGCGCCGAGGCTTCGGAGTGTGTGTCGAGTAATCCCCGAAGCTTTTTGTGAACCTTGTATCGAGGCTTGTATCGTTTTGGGCCAGTGACGTCATCGATGACAAACGAAGCCTTGCTGCCTGTCAATACCACGTGACTGCTTCACAAAGCCATTCAGATCGGTTGAACCACAACGCCCATATTACCAGTGGCGACTGGTCATTAGGGGCAGGTGGGGCACAGCCCCACCTAGTGTCAGCAGAAAGTATTACAAATAATGATTACAAACAAATGCAAAAAATAAACAACAAAATATATAAAATATATTTTAAGATCATGGTTAATCATCTGATTCGTCCGTACATTGCTGTTTTAGTCTGTGTTCTTCTAATTAGTGGCTACAGTGTGTGCTTATTGAGCTGTTTAGAGCCATGTGGGACAAAACCCGATCATGCCCCTCCCTCTCACTGTCTAAGTGAACGGTGACTATAAAAACTACACTGCGCATGCTCAGAGTATTGTCCTATTTAGGCCCAATCCCAAACCACCCCCTCGACCCTACCCCTCCGTGATGGAGTGAACTCCGTCTGTGGCCACACTCGCAGCTCAATGAGGCTCCCTCCTGTCAGATGGAGGGAGTAAATACAGCAGCAAGCTTTGGGACGGCCTCCCCTCTCTCCGGCAGAAACAGGAAATGCCGTAACTGTATGTAACAACGGTTTCAAATCAGCATCTCTTAGACAAAAAGTTTAAATGAATAACTCAAATAAAACTCCAAACATCTTTCATTGTGTTTCAAAGCTCTTTTAGTTTTAAACCTGATGTTTATAAGCTTCTTAGTTTTTGCAACGGTCTGTAAATATACACAACTTTATAATAAAATGCACACATTTACCTTTTTCTAGACTAAACACAGGTATGATCCTAAATTAAAAACAAAGTGAGGTTATCATGAGGTTGTTAACATCGCAATTTATCAGTGGATGTTTGCTGGAACTAGGCTACTTGTAAACAGCGTATTTCCTGACGGACACACACAGCGTGACTCCGGTCAGGTGGAGACCGGTCTCAAGTCAGCACCGCTGCAGACTCGCTGTTTGAGGGCTTGATAGCCCACTCCCCCTCCACACTCGTTGCTTTGGAACAGCCCTCAATATGGCAGACCCTCCGCGTGAACGCGCAAACGGAGGGGTAGGGGTAGGGTGTAGTGGTAGGGTGTAGGGGGCGGTTTGGGAATGGGCCTTAATGTGTGTGGCAAAAAAATAATGACCATAGGGGCATAGAGCTGCCATCCCCACCATACGTCATCTCACATAATTCAGAGCTGATTGGCTGTAAGTATGCGTGCCGCGAAAAGTGTGGTGTGTGAAGAGGAGGAGAGAGACGCGTCCTAAAACCAGGAAGTAAGCTGCGCATGGCTTCCCTCCACAAAAAAGCAATGATATTTCTCCATGGGATTTTAGAAAATAGCCCCAAATAAGAGAGAGATGTAATCCTGCATTAACTTTTTTAATTGTAATTTTCAGGCAAGGTTAAAAAAATAAACCTGCAAGCTGCTCTTTAAGGTAAACTAAATTACTTTCAGGACCTTTGGGGCATCATAATCCTGCATTATACATACTTATTGCGGGTAAAAAATACTATTAACTCATGTAAACTCATTGCACCACTTAAATAAACTAAATAGAATTCCATCACTATTTTTTTCAAGAAAGTATCTTGTGCCCATAACATTAAATTAGTATATATCTTTCAGGACCTTGTGTGCCGCATAGTCCTCCTGCATTATGACGAGTTCTCTTATTTTGAAATCTTTAAGTCTGTTTTGCTGTTAAAATAACTTTGACTGAAGTATTATTTTTTAATTATCTTGTGCTTCTGCTAATTGTGTTTGTATGAAAAGGTCTTGTTTTTCTACAATGAATTATCTGGTATGCATACGATTACATATAATACACCTCTTCCAGGACCTTGTGATAACACTGCGTTATGACTACTTTTATTTTGAAATCATTCAATTTTTTAATTGCAGGACTTTTCTTAAGGTATTTCTATCTCAGTACTTGTTTAGTAAATGGTGTTTAAAGGTGTACCATTTATATTACCACTCTGTTTCACAAGTCTTAACTGGTGTATTTACGACTTAAAAAATACATCTTCCAGGACCTTTTAACACTCCTGCAGTATTACGAGTACTTTTATTTTGAAATTGAAGACTTTTCTGTTTTTTAATTACTCTTAATCAATCATTTAATGAACCATTTTAAATCCTGGAATATGTAATGGTATTGCTATCTCAATACTTGTTTGATAAGCGTTGTTTAGTGCAAGAAAACAGATCATTTTGTAAGCTAGGCTAATTGTTTTGCTAGCTTTATTTATTTTGTATCAGTTGGTGACGTCAGACGGCCGGAGCGCGTGCGGCGGAGCTCCGTATCTTGAGCTCGCGACCCTGGGGCAAACCAGGCAAACCAACCGCTGAAGATCGTTGGAGAAACTATTCAGACGAACCAAACAAACGGATTTAAACTTAAAAACAGCGACTTTTTAACCCATTTAACGCATCGACAGCTCATTAAACACCGAGCCGAAGTGTGTAACTGAACCCTGGAGGTGTTTTCGGGCTGTAAAGTTGTCCTTGTCGGGGTGAACTGGATGGTAAAGACGGTGACACGGGAGGAGGAATGGTGGTGTTTCTGTTGTGACCCGGCTCCATTTTCTCCTCAAACAACCAGGAGGAGAAAGGAAAGTTAGAGGAGAAAGAAGGAGGTAAATAACAAGGAGAAATGGCCGAAGCAAGGTCAGAGGAAGAGGAGGAAAACATAATGAGGGAAAACCGGGAACAAGTGGTCCGACGGCAGCCCAACAGCTCCGGAGGTAAAAGAGCGAAATTACCAACTTAATGTGTGTATTATTAACTGTTTCCACTTGATTTAGCTTCACTATATTAATACCTGTGTGAATGATTAACTGTCATAAGATGTTACTGCAAATATAATCCTTAAACTGACTCTAAATGGTCAGATATCCGCACCCATTTCTTACGAGATAACTCAAAACACCTGTATCTAGCTGCCCAGTGGTGTAAAGTAACTAAGTAGATGTACTCACTTAAGTACACGTCTGAAGTACTAACACTTTACTTTAGTATTTACACACTTTTTTGCTACTTTGTACTTTTACTCCACTACAGTTCAGAGGTAAATGGTGTACTTCTACTCCACTACATGTATTTAATACTTTAGTTACTTCACAGATGTGGATGAATGATGTGAAATATAACCAAGTGTTGAATCAGACTTTAGTTCCACCTGGAGTAAATCCACCAGCTACCCTGCAGTATACAAAGTCATTCAAACTAGCTGCACCTTTACCAGCTTTGAGAACACTTTCATGATCAATCATTATAAAACATATCATATATATTATTCTGAAATGGTCCAATCAAACAACGACTACTTTCACTGTCTTTCACTATATTTTGATGAGAATACTTTCCTACTTTCACTTGAGGAACATTTTGAATGCAGGACTTTTACTGGAACAGAGTATTCCTACACTCTGGTACTTCTACTTTTACTCAAGTACAAGATCTGAGTACTTCTACTTTTACACAAGTACAATATCTGAGTACTTTTACTCAAGTACAAGATCTGAGTACTTCTACTTTTACTGAAGTACAAGATCTGAGTACTTCTACTTTTACACAAGTAAAGAAGAGTAGCCTACTTCTTTAACTTTTGGTCACAACCTTGTATATCTAAAGTATTTGAATACCTGTGGGAATGATAAACTATCCCAAGCTGTTATATAATCCCAGCTGACTCTAAATGGTCAGATATCCACACCCATTTCTGACAAGATAACTCAAAACACATGCAGCTAGCTTTCGTAATACTTTCTGTTGCATTGCAGTACTTTTGCTGAGCTCCATAATACTTCCACAGAGTGTTGATCTTCTGTGATATTTGCAGTGTCCCTGTTAAATCTCTCATAGGACTGATACAGCTGTTTGATCAAGTGTAAATACTGTACTGGCAGGACATACAAAGTACTAGTAAAACATGCAAAATATGAACTTTTAAGTATGTACCCTTTTAGAGCAGTGGTTCTCAACTGGTGGGTCGCGACCCAAAAGTGGGTCGCAGATGTGAGTGAAGAAGAAAACATTGGAAAAAGTTTGACTTTTTTCTTTGTTTGTTTGTAGCCTTTATTTAACCAGGTGAAAGCCCCTTGAGATCAAAAGATCTATTTTTCAAGGGTGACCTGCAGGACTTTAGTTACACATGTAACATAAAAACAACAGAACAACAATAAGGATGACATACAACATAATGTACAGGGTACAGTTTACAAACTCTATTTACAGTGACAGGTACCATGAGTATCAAACAGCATGTCACCCAGCTGAGTTTTAAAATGATGCAGGGGAACCAAAGTGCTCAGTTTTAAACATGTTTGCAGACTGTTCCAAGTTAGTGGAGCTGCACAACTAAAAGCTTTCTTCCCTAAGACAGTCCTAGCACTTGGCACATTTAATAAAACAACATCATGAGATCTCAGGCAATAAGTACTTTCAATTCGTTGAGAGATCAGGGAGCAGATATAAAAAGGTAGTTTACCCAACATGGCTTTGTAAATGAACATGTACCAATGACTGAGCCTCCGTACAGTTAGTGAAGGCAGACCTGCCCTAGCATACAGGGTACAGTGGTGAGTAATGGCGCGTTTCCACTGCAGGCCTCGCTCGCTTTGGTTAGGCCTTATTAGGCCCGGCTCACTTTAATGCTGCGCTTCCATTACAGTTTAGGAACTGGAGCAGTTACTATAGTAACGCAGTGTAGGCGGAGCCGTGACGTCATCTTCAATGAGAGCCCCAGAAAAACAACACAGCCGTTAGCTGTTAGCACTCAGAGCTCACAGCTCTTCATATCTGTTCAGAAACTAGATAAAAGTTAAACAAGTACAAACCACAGACTGCCTGTGTCATGGAGAATACAGTCGCTGGTTTATTTATGTCTGTAGGCCGTTGTTGTGAGTGTGGACGGTCGGAGCATTTACAACGTTAGCTTAGCCGATCTCCATTCAGAAAACACGCATTTTAAAAGGGTTTTTCGCCTGCCGTCTGTCTGCAGACTTGTCAAAGCATTAATTCATGGTTTTTACTAACCAGTATCAGTATGTTGTTACTTCGGCATCATTTTGAAACGTGTATTACAATTAAATCACGGTCAAATATGTTCATTGTGTTGTAGTTGTAGCCCCCTTGCCAGCGATTCTCTCTCTAGTTTAGCATACTCAGCCCGACTCAGCCTGGTTGTTCCTGGCCCTAGAACCACGATTTTATGGGGCCAGAACAACTGTGAATTAGGACCCGCTAGCCGGTACTAAGCCAAGTGGAAACGCAACCAAAAACGGGCCCAGCACGGCTCGGCACGCTTAAAGCGAGCTACCCGCTGCAGTGGAAACGCGCCATAAGTGCTTTACAGTAACAAATCTCAGAGCACTGTGATAGGCGGCATCTAACTTTTCCAGGCAATGGTCAGGTGTATTCATATAGATCAAATCACCATAGTCCAGCACAGGTAAAAAGGTCACAGAGCCTTTTCCTGGCTTCAAATGAGAAACAGGACTTGTTCCTGAAAAAGAAACATAGCCTAACCCTCAGCTTTTTAAGCAGATTAATGACCTGAAGTTTAAAAGTAAGACAATCATCAAGCCAGATACCTAGGTATTTATAACAGGTAACCACTTTGAGTACTCATCCTTGCATAGTAACAATATCCAAAGCAGTGTCTGTAGTCTTTTTAGCTTTAGAAAAGAGCATTACCTTGGTTTTATCAACATTTAAAAGAAGCTTAAGTTCAGAGAGCTGAGTCTGAATAATGTTAAAAACAGCCTGTAATTTAACACCAGCCTCCTGAATGGAGGGACCTGCACAATACATCATGGTATCATCAGCATAAAAATGAAAAGTAGCTTCATCCACATTTTCACCTAAACTGTTGATATATATGGAGAATAAAAGTGGACCTAAAACAGAACCTTGAGGAACACCATTTGCAATGTTTAACCACTCAGAAGACAGCCCATCAAAGTGAACACATTGGGACCTTTCAGAGAGGTAGTTCACAAACCACCCACTGCATGGCTGGACATGCCGATTCTGGCTAGCCTCTGCTTTAAGATGCGATGATCGACGTTATCAAACGCTTTGGATAGGTCAACAAATAGAGCTGCACAACTCTGCTTATTATCTAAAGTACTCGTAATGTCATTCACCACTTTCATTGTGGCAGTGATGGTGCTGTGTTGCTTTCTGAAGCCTGACTGATGTTTAGACAGGATGTCATTGTTACATAAAAACTCCTTTACCTGTTCACTCACTAGGCGTTTAAGAACCTTGGCCAGAACTGATCATTTAGAGATTGGCCTATAGTTATTTAAAATAGTTGCCTCCCCTCCTTTTAGCAAAGGCAGGACATACGCTGACTTCCACCATTTTGGAATTGTATTTTAGCTGAGGGAGAGGTTAAAAAGAGTAGTAAGAGGAAGAGCAATACAATCTGCTATCTTTAAAAAGAAAGGCTCTACGTTGTCCGGGCCAGCCGGTTTCTTAGGATCTAACTTAGTTAAGGCTTCATGAACAACATTAACAGTAAAAGGAGTAAAACTAAAAGGGTTTTCAGGGCTCGACATTAACGATGGCCCGGGGCCATCTAGTATTTAGCTCGGGCAATGAAGCCTCACCTGCTGGTTGCCCGATCGGGCAATCTATTATGCCAGTATCATGCAGCTCGTGGATCCAGTAATGAGTGACCCGACAGTAAAACTAAACATATCTATAACTAGTTACGGTAGTTTGAGAGGTCATTAAAATAGCTACGTGTGATATTCTAACCTGAAGTGTGTGTTTTGTTCCGCTCACCGCTGCATGTGATCATGCAGAGCTGCGTGTCGACTCGTCAGCAGCAGCTGATCTCTCCCGTCAGATTAGACTCGCGTTTATGTCCATATCGATCAGATCCAGCTAGTTCTAGCTAATGATAGGACTACCTGCTTATTAAAAGACACCTAAACAATAAGTGTCGCTATGCAACCGGGTGAGGCCGCAAAGTATAGCGCAGCATTATGCATTTGTTTACATGCCCACTGGAACCCCGAGGCATTACCAACAGATCAACGCACAATCAACCCATACAGGACATCTCTTTCTCCACATTAAGTGTTAGACATTAGAATCGACTCTTCTTGTCTGTCACATACTCTTCTTGTCTGTCACATACTCTTCTTGTCTGTCACATACTCTTCTTGTCTGTCACATACTCTTCTTGTCTGTCACATACTCTTCTTGTCTGTCACATACTCTTCTTGTCTGTCACATACTCTTCTTGTCTGTCACATACTCTTCTTGTCTGTCACATACTCTTCTTGTCTGTCACATAAGTGGCGCAACTGAAGCGGTATTGCGCTAAAGGGAAATTATTTTGACCGAAGAGTTTTAGATTTGCCGGCTAACAGGAACTCTGACGTCGCCATTTTGTGTGCTTCGCGGATGCGCTCGGCTTCTCTCGACTGCTGCTCGGTCGGCTTCCGGATGAGGAGGCATTCGACCAACTTACAGTAGATAACATTACAAACATTTTTAACAGGGGCCATAATAGTGTAAATAATGTTTGTTTTGGCAGTTATAACTGAATGTATGTTTTCTACTTTTTTACATCTGGGATGGCATTTGCCTTCATCAGATGGAAAGTGTCTTCACCAACAACTTAAGTATTTCTTAAAGCTATGCAGGGCGTGCAAGCGAGCAAACACAAACAAGAACAAACAAACAAACAAGTGAAATGAAGAATACAATTGAAATTGTACAATAT